AAGAAAAACCACGTGAAGAAGGAGAAGACTGTAGAGAAGAAAGTGAGTGCCAAAATGGAGGGACAGCCACCGGCAGGTGCCACTGTGGAGGGGAAAGGAAGGGCAGCAGCAGACGCGCTGAACAGACAGATAAAACAGGTCGTCTCAACTGGCACTGGCAGCTCTTATAGGTGAGGATCTGACTACTGTGGGACTATGTATTTTCATTGAATGTTTATTATTGAATTACTGTATTTACACATTTTCTGCCTCTGAAATGTATATTTTTTCACAGTTTAAATACAGTATATCAACCCTAAATTAAACATGGAATTTAGGCCACAATGAACTTTATTGTGGAGGCCAAAATTATTTAATGAGGCCTAACACAATATATTGTGTTGCTTAGCCAATACTCAATCTTAATATATAATTACAGTAACTACCAAACTACATGCATCAATTGTTAATCAATTGTATTTAAATGTTGTGCACATGTTGGTAAGAGAAGAACATATTGTGCACAACATTTAAATACAATTGATTAATAATTTATGCATGCGTTTTTGGTAGTTACTGTACTAGCAGTAGCAAATCCAAGATGCATGTAGCCTTCAGTCTATTGACAATAAAGCGCACGTCATCCCTACTGGGTTTTATAATCTACTCAAGAAAGCACACGCTACCTCTCCATCATGAACTGTACATGTCAGCTTTTTTCTAGATTAATCTTAAATGTGTTTTTGTTTGATATTTGATATAACATATGTTCTCTCATTTCAGTGTCCTGTGATCTTGATGATCAGACTAATGTTATCATAGATAACTGCTGCAGCATTGATTGTCCCCTGTTTCATCCTCCTCTATTACCAGATCAATACAGTAGCACATCATGTCAGGGCCAAGGCAGTAAAGGAGCTGTGGATATAATCATGTCTATTGTTCTCAACATAGGCCTCTCTAAGGCCTCTCTGGAGGGGCTCCCTCATTTGTTTCCCTAGTTTTTGACTGCAAGGTCAATGAGTTTTTGTGTAAAATGTGTAGAGAGCTTTGCAGTTGTCGTCTGTGTGTGAAAGAAACAGAAGCCCTGTGTTGTAGTTACTGTAATGGGGAGTAAAGTGACTAACGCGAGTCATGCTACCCTCCCTGTGTACACTTTGGCTGTAGATCTGATGTCATTTCGGTCCATTTCCTCCCACAGATTTTGGGCAACAACAATGTTTGTTTGGGATTCATAATAAAACTAAGTGATTTGTTGTATGATTAATTAATACAGTGGCATCTAATGAGTTTGCTGATTCATTGTTTTTCAGGAATGAGTTCAAGGCGTACAAAGATGTGAAGCCAGTGAAGTCAACCAAGCCCCAGTCTCAGTACAAACCGCCTATGGATGACAAGGACAAGACCAGCCTGGAGACCAGCTACAGCGCCACCTACAAGGGGGAGCAGACCAAGGTGCAGCCCACTGACAACAAGCTGCTGGAGCGCAGGAGGATACGCAGCCTGTACAACGAGCCGGGCGGCAAGGAGACCACCAAGGTGAGCCCACATCAATATGCATGTGACACTGAACACTTACCATTTTATGTTAAAATGTGTATCTAATTGCACAAAATACATGTTCAATTTCGAGTTTTCCAACCTGTTGCTGTGACGGGCCAATTCATGTTTATGTATTTATGTCTCCAATGACTCCAAATAATGCAAATTAAACTTCAAACTGCATTAGTTACTTTGGACATTGTTGTTTTCATGTATATGTTCTCCTTCAAGCAATATACTATTTTGATTTAGATGCTAAACTTATAACGATTGAGATCATCACTGTAGCCTGTTCCATGGTCCTAATCACTTTGAAATGTTGTACAGTATAAAATCTCAGAGGAACTGTCTAAACTACTAAATTAAGATAAGAATTAGCACATCACAAAACTAATGTAATCAATCAAAGTTAATTAAATCTCCACATGCATGTTTGTGAGCGGTAGGAAAGTCTCATGTGTCTGCATGCTATGTTTATATGGCCCCTCCCTCTCTCACTCTTGTAGGACTGTTCTGAGACTGAGAGCAGCTCTATTCTAGATCTGCTGTAGTCAGGTGTGTTGTCAATTTCTCTGGAAGGCATGGAGGTTGAACTCAGATTAACTCACACCTTGATTAATGCACCTTAACCAACAGGACTAGGGTCACATTAGCCACCAAACTGCCAGATAATTCAATCATTCTGTAAAGCTGTCAGCCACGTCCTTAAAGATTGCACTGCCTCTCTCAAGACCACCAAGAGAGCTTGGATTAAATGAATGTATTATTTTGCATGTCATATCAACTCTCAGTCCTTTGGTTTGATTGGTGTCAGAAGAAGCACTTTATACAAAGGGCAAAAAGCCCAATTATCTTTACAAAAAAAACTAATTTGTTGAATATGACCAAAAATATAGTCTCGTCCCATAGAAAGAGAATAAGATTGTGCATATTAAGTTAGTTGTTCATATACTAATCCCAACTTTATACTGTAAGTTTGTATTTTAGACACAACCTTCAGGATGGAAATGAAATTAGTTTTTCTAAACAGAGATTATGTTCCAATGGACACAAGTGGGTTTTTTTCATCGTAAGTGCACTAACCACGTATTGCAAATATTACCAACAAGATAGTGACAAAAAAAAAAAAAAACATGGGGGATTGGAAGTGATGCAGACAATTACATTGATAGAAGATACAATCTATCTGCAATATTAAGCTGATCCATTCCCCCCCCCCAAAAAAACTAAAAAAACAAAAAACAAAAAAACAAGATAGTGACATTTGCTATTTTATTTTTATTTGATGTTAGTAACAGGAAGGTATGTATTGCATGCTCAGAATAAAGATTTACTGTAACATCTCCAGGAAATGAATTGCCAGTGTTCACCTTAGAGATTCATGAGCTCTTTGTATCACTATCATACAGTATCATTCCAAAGATGATACTGTAACCTGGACTGATGACATTTTGACTGTGTAGTTTACCTACAGTTGTAGGAGGATGTGAAGTACACAATGCCCTCCTCTCTGCCTCTATAGGTGGACAAGACAAAAACCAAACCAAAAAAGACATCAACGACAACGAGCAAAATGGTGAAAAAGGCGAAAGAGAAGACCATCGCTGGTGCACTGTCAACCAAGAAGAAAACCTCCACGAGCACCAAGCCAGACGAGTCCAAGCCAGAGGGAGTCGTTATCTCAAAGAAGAGCAAAGAGATAAGCAATAGACTGGCTGAGGCAAAAAAGTAAAAACAAAACATCTCTGCACTACTTTATTTAGGGAATTAAACGCTGCCTAATGAATTAGAGAACTCTCATCCATTTGGTTTATCTCTTTCTCTCTGTATTTTCCTTCATGTTCCTCGTCTCTGTGTATACTCACTAGATGTGGAGCTTTTAAGTTGACAGTTTGACATCTTCACCATGCTGTCGTTTAACTATAATGCTTTGTGTGTGTGTGTGTGTGTGTGTGTGTGTGTGCGTGCGTGTGTGCGCGTGTGTGCACGTCCTCTCTCTGTTAAAACTTCAGCACATTTTTTGCACATTCTTTTGTTGCATTTGTCAATCCTTTGTAGAAAGAAAAACATTCTAAAACAGAGAGCCATTGATACACAAACTGTACATCAAGAACAGTATATGGCTCTTAAACGGCTGTTGAAGGCAGTGAGAGGTTTTGCTTTTTTTTCTGACTACCTATCATCATACTGATGATGGATTGTCTATAGTTCTTCTTTTCGATCTCTTAGACGGCAGTGACTATGTGGTCTCTGCAGATATAAAATCTTAATTACTGTAGCGTTTCCTGGTTACAGTGACTCTACTCTTTGGACCTAGATTTCATTTCATATTTCATCATATTCGGGAGGATATCTGTTTTCATCAATTTGGTTGCTAAGAAACCAATTGAACTGTAATGTAATTGCTACAGCTTGCATGCAAGGCCCTCTTTCTGGTTGTATAGTAGCGTTCTAGTGTCCTATTCTCACGGTCACAATCTAGCTTCTCATTCATGAGAAATCACATTTCCAAAATTACTGCATGTGTAGTGATAGTCTGATCTCATACCATAAGTGTCTACACAAACAAACAAGAAAATTGTCACTGACTTACAGTACAAAAGATAGCACTTAGTACTCTAGTGCCTATTGTAACTGTTATGTCAACCCACCAGCTTTGAAGTTCTACCTTCACACACATGGTTCTACTGCCTTCTTCAATGTGAGAACCACTTTGTCCACTTTCCAGTTATTTGATACAGTATGAAAACTGATGTATTTCTGATAATACACCCGTCTTTAATGATATGTCGTTATTTTATCCATTACAAAGCTGTGATCTATTGGTGTGCAAAACCATGTATAATGTTAAAAATGAGCATATGTATGATATAGGAAATAGGAGAACCTATTGTATTTACTCAATCACCTCCACTTTCTTCAATGGGCTCAATAGTTAGGTGTAAAAAGATAAGGAGTGGGCCAGGATTAGAAGATCAAATCTGCTTTTTGGAACATGCAGCTGCCTGTCTGGAACCATTGGTATCACATCTATTCATAGTGAGTGTGAGTGCTACTCTGAAAGCATCTCACCCTGTCTCTCTTATGTCTGTGCACCTGCAGTCCGCCAGTATGTTACAGTATGTGGCAGTCCACCCATACGCTGTTGTGTGTCTGCTATTGTCTATTGTACCCCCAGACCACCCTGCTCTCTGCTGCCTGTCAGGGTTCAGTGTGTTAGACCTCCACAGCTCGCCGGCTCCTAGCGCCTGCCCCCCAGGACAGTAACTAATGTGCTGAGCACACCACACCTCGGTGCTATGACTCTCTCATCTATATGCTGTCAGTTTGATGCGAATGTACTCAAACCGTGTGAAATGATGACAATATGATGTCATATACTGCAGATGTGTTGTGATTGTGTGCTTGTATTCTCAGCTTGCTCTGAATGAACTAATTAAAAATGTTGAAGCAGAATCTGAATGTTGTGAATGATTATCATGATACAGTATTAGTTAATGCACCTCTATTGAAGTCTTGAACTGGCCCATAGACACTCTCTCAGACTCCTTCAGAAGAGGTATTTGTGATTTTCATTACGCTACATAGACAGAGAGAGATTGCAAAACCCATTAGAATATGAATGAGGGCACCAAAACTGCCTCTTTTTATTTTAGTGGACATTAAAGATTCAGAGGAATTACGGAAGGTCCAGTGAAGATGGTTTGGCTGCTTTGTTATTTCCCATTGGGTGGTAAAATAAAGAGATTTCTTATGGCAGTGGAATTCACGTTCTGGCAAATTACAATTATTTAAGCATATAGGCATAAAGTACAATACCATTTACATGTCAACTTGAAAAACAAAATGCAGTCAACTTGAAAGAAAATTGCATTACAATTTGTAAAACAAGGAACACTTCCCACTATTGTTAAATGAGGAACAGAAAACCATCATCAGGAATTAGTTCTGAGATATAAACGGTCCCTTAAACAGGGAGTCAACAAATGACATTGCTTCCCACAAACAAAAGGTGCCCTCAGACAACAGCAGCTATAAAATGGAAACAGTAATTTATGCTTTCCTAGCCAATCCATTGAAGGACTGAACACATGCAGGGTCTGTTGTTTGTCTGTAATTCAGTCATCCTGATGTAAAACCTCCTAAATAATTAAGTTGTTACGGGCAACTATTTGGAGAGCGAGCTGTATGAAATATTGAATGGAGGAGCAGAGATGGCAGTGGAACTGTGTCCCCTGTTTTGCCAGAAGTGTCTGCACGCACCTAGCTCGCCGTGCTATACACCTTTTATAAGAATAAAGGTGACGTTTAATTATTTTAATCTACATTCATCAGGTCCACTCTAAAGAAGTCTAGCTGACTTTGTATCTCCCATTGGGTAAAAAGTAAAACAGTGCTACGTCTTCAAATGGATATGATCAGACACTTCTTCTTCCTTTACCTTTTGTATAGAACAAGGTGATACAGGTAACCAATGTAGACACTCTCACAGGTTACAGCTATTTAACTGAGGAGAGACTGGACTCAGTGGAGACATGATGAGACCTATTAATGAATAATGAGCCAACCAGGAAAGGGCTCTGATCTGGAGTGACAGACAGCTTCTCCTGTCTGGGAGTTATTACCCAGGGAACACCAGTATGTCTGCCCCAGAGAAGTCTAGCCTACCAGGACTGCCACTGCTGCCATGTGGCCAGTCAAGGCCCCACCAATATAATCATGCAGTCTGGACTAAGGGAAGGAGATCGGAGGAGCGAATGAGGCGCTAGTCTGCTAAATATAATCACCCTCCTCCAAGACAAATACAGGTACGTTTAAAGGCACATTCAAAACGAATAATATCAAAATACAAAATAAATGTTTATTTAAATGATTTTACCAAGCCCTCAATCATGCTGATTACTAACTGAAAAATAATAAGACTGCAAACAAACTTAACATGAGCCCATTATGGTTCATGGCATTGCTTCAGTACTCTTATCCACTGCAATAAGATCCAGGCCATTATGCCCTCAGTGAAATTGCATAAGTACACAATAACACTTCAAAACAATACATTTAGTTCCTATTGCAATAGTAAATGTTTTCTCCAGATCCATACCTTATTATTCCTGTTTTCATGAGTGACAAATCTTAACTCAGGGATTCTTGAAAGTCGGGACAATCCTTGTCCAGCAGCGAAACTGTATTTTTATACTTTACATTTTTGTTATTTTGTTGCGTTATTTGAGCTTAAAAAATACATTTAGGGGAATTTTATTAGGGCAAAGATTTGCTTTTGGAATTGTCAAAATATTTTCAATATTATTAATTTCCATGTCGGCTCTATGCCGGAAATGCTCTTGCAAAGGGTCGCAATTTCAAACTCTCAAAAAAAGTGTTTAAAATTCTAAAAACTGGCAATAATTAATATTAACTGAAAACTGGCAATAATTAATATTAACTGAAAAAGTTCTCTACTTTTGATAGATTTAAACAAACAATATTAAAATCACCATTGTCACAACCATAAACTGTCAACGCCATCTGCCAGATAGATTAATATAGGACATGATATAATTTGGTTTTAGAGTCATAAAGGAACTGAGGAAAAACTTTGTATATTACTTGAATGAAGAAGAAAAATTATATTTTTGTCAACTCTGTAAAACATCAACTCCATCAGATTTTTGTCAAAAGTCAACTCCGTAACTCCATCAGATTTTAGTCTAAAGTCAACTCCGTCACAGTGCTGAAAGATCTGATAGAATGGTTATATTTTTATTGGGGGTTTTCAAATTAATACTTTTTCTATATATTACAAGTGTTTGTATTAAACTTTTATTTTTAGAGGCAAAATTATGTATGTTTTGAATATTCGTTGTCAACCCCATCAGTGGCTTGTCAACTCACGGATGGCTAACCCTCTTAATATCAATATTTGTATCAATATTCAAAAAAATATTTTCACCTTGTTGCAACATATGCTTAAACTACAGACTTATTTGCTGTGCTAGACCTAAGGGATAATGTTTGCTTTCTAAATGTTGTTTTATGTTCTGAATCTTGAAAAACATGCCAAAATGCTAACGAAATTAGCATTATAACTATAAAATAAAACTAATATACGTTTGAAGAGTTGTATTACATATTTGAATAATCTAATGTTAGAATTAAACAATCAAGGCCTTTATAAAACACTTGTTGGACAATAAATGTAAAAATGAAATGCCTTTTATGGTGTCTGATGGAGTTGACATGAATCCAGTTAGTTGCATTTTATGAAACAATTAAAGAATTAGGACGTGGTTCCTTTACATGGTGTGATAGCTGATACTTTTGTCTATCAAAATATATAATTCAAATGTTGTTAATATTAAGAAATATATTTGTGGAAAGAAATAGAGATTGTCCTGTCTTTCAAGAATTTCTGAACTAAACCTGGTAAGAATAACATCATTGTAAGTAGTCATTGGACACCACCTATCTGTTGTGCTCTGTGTGCTGGATTTTGTATGAGGTCAGCTTGCAAGCTGCTCTCCTCACTGTGGTGCTGATCAGAACAACAACCACGACTAACAAAATCAAGCCCAGCAGAACTCAAAGGACTATGGTTGCCACTTTCCAGCCTTCTCCCGGGGCCGTTGATATCTGGGAAATTCCTACAGGGAAAAGATAGATGTTTGGTCAATGTCTATCAGTAACTACTGAAAGGAAAATATTAGATAAGCAGCCTCCCACACAAAATAAAATAGAAGAAATTAGTGAAACCACAACCAAGACACATACATTAATTGAACAAAACAAACACCATCACCGTGAAATGCCAATTCATTCAAAACAATCCTATGTTTTAAACATACTTTTCAAGGTAGCTATGGCGGTTATGTCCAGGTGTTTGCAGATAGTGTCCTGGAGAGCAGTCTGGAGAGCTCTTTCATCAGTGGAAGTATTCCCATTAAAACCACACATCATCCTGACCACCACACTACCCCTCTGGAAGCCCACCACTGTCATGTCAAAGGATGGCTCTGACAGAACACGCCGCATTCTGGGGACAACCTGGATTTTAAAAAAAATAGTAAAGTAGATGTCTAGTCTAAAAAGTAATTATGGAAAAGAAACCATAGTGTTTTAAGATAGCATTTTTAATAATATGACATCATGATAATTACAAATCTATGCACTTACAGTTGTTATGATCTTTGTAGAGGTATATGCCCAAGCATCGCTCCCGGGGTCGTACAGAGAGGAATTGAAGATCCAAGAGTTTAACTCTGCTGTTAATTTGAAAACATTCCTCACTGTAGGGGGGAAGCAGAGAGAGTTGTTATAATAAGCTGTAGGTCATCCTGACTCAGTCAGAGGCACAAATAGGCCTCAGTATTACAGATTCCTCTTTCTCTGAATACCGTATGTGAGATCTGAAGAATTGGTATGATTTCAGAACTTACATGAGCAGAGAAACTTGGAAGGAAGACATTGATTTTGGGATGAGCAAATTTCATTTTCTTGATCAAAACAGTCCGCAGGATCTAGAGTGGGTACATTTTGATGACATGAAGATGTAATGTAAAGTATGTGTAAGATACTCAAGTAAGACATTGAGACAGATACATTTTGAGACAGAGGACATTAGTGTAGCTTTGCATAGCTTCCCAGGGTTAACAGGATTCTGATCTATCTAACCAGGATGGCAGCTACACTCATGGCTGCCTCCAGGACCAACCACACACTGAGCACGTGATGAACACAAGCCTTTACATGGATCTGCACCTACAGAGATATTTCCTTCAAAATAGTGAGTGCAATAGTGGTAAATACCGCTTAACTGGATGTACTTACTAGTGTATTACAGGGTAATAACATATGTTCTTCCACTGGTAGTTGCTGTTGTATAAAGTACTTATTTCATGTAAAGTGTGGCGCACATTTCAAGCAACAACGTTTCTTACTCTTGCAGTCAGTACCCGGTACGGTTGGGTTTTGGTCGTAGAATTCTGCCTTACATTCACAAGTATGTGAAGGTCCCTTTCTGACACAGCTGGCATTTTTTGAGCATATGTGATCTCCTCGTTGGCAGATATCTGCCTCTGTAATGAAGTAATAAGTTAAGTTACTAAAAGCCACTAAATACACATGGCGACATGATAACCACCTGGTGTGAATGTAGACTTCTGTTTTATACCTAGATATGCAAATCTATCATCCAATTGATCCAAAGCGTCCTTATTTCTGTTAGTTCTTGAATATTTATTCAAAGATCACTTGATTGATTAACTAGCATAGAATAGATAATTGTATGTAGTTATTGGAATTGAACCTTTGACAGAGGTGATATTCAGATCCACTCCGGGTGCAGATGATTTCAGCGCATTGATGACGCTGTTCTGCACGTCAGAGGTTGACAGTTTGACCTCCAGAGCAGTGATCAGATCAAAGCCAACGATCACACTTCCTCTGCGAACACCGGTCACAACCATCACCAATTCTTTAGCCCTGATAAGGTCCTGGTACTCTTTCGGGAGATTGTTTTCAACCTTTAAAGAAATATGTACATTTAAATCATACAGGGTTATATTCCAGTGCCTTCGGAAAGTATTCAGACCCCTTGACTTTTTCCACATTTTGTTACGTTACAGCCTTAATCTAAAATTGATTAAATAAAAACATTTATTCAGCAATCTACACACAATACCCCATAACGACAAAGCGAAAACAGGTTTTTATACATTTTTAGAAATGTATTCAAATTCAATTAATTGGACATGATTTGGAAAGGCACACACCTGTCTATATAAGGTCCCACAGTTGACAGTGCATGTCAGAGCAAAAACCAAGCCATGAGGTCGAAATAATTGTCCGTAGAGCTCCGAGACAGGATTGTGTCGATGCACAGATATGGGGAAGGGTACCAAAACATTTCTGCAGCATTGAAGGTCCCCAGTAACACAGTGGCCTCCATCATTCTTAAATGGAAGAAGTTTGGAAACACCAAGACTCTTCCTAGAGCTGGCCGCCTGGCCAAACTGAGCAATCGGGGGAGAAGGGCCTAGGTCAGGGAGGTGACCAAGAACCCGATGGCTCTAGAGTTCCTTTGTGAAGATGGGAGAACCTTCCAGAAGGACAACCATCTCTGCAGCACTCCACCAATCAGGCTTTTATGGTAGAGTGGCCAGACAGGAGCCATTCCTCAGTAAAAGGCACATGACAGCCCGCTTGGAGTTTGCCACAAGGCACCTAAAGAAAGAAGATTCTCTGGTCTGATGAAACCAAGATAAAACTCTTTGGCCTGAATGCCAAGCGTCACGTCTGGAGGAAACCTGGCACCATCCCTACAGTGAAGCATGGTGGTGGCAGTTTTTCAGCGGCAGGAACAGGGAGACTAGCAAAGATGAACGGAGCAAAGTACAGAGAGATCCTTGATGAAAACCTGCTCCAGAGTGCTCAGGACCTCAGACTGGGGTGAAGGTTCACCTTCCAACAGGACAACAACCCTAAGCACACAGACAACGCAGGAGTGGCTTCGGGACAAGTCTCTGAATGTCCTTGAGAGGCCCAGCAAGAGCCCGGACATGAACCCGATTGAACATCTATGGAGAGACCTGAAAATAGCTGTGCAGCAACGCTCCCCATCCAATCTGACAGAGCTTGAGAGGATCTGCAGAGAAGAATGGGAGAAACTCCCCAAATACAGGTGTGTCAAGCTTGTAGCATCAAACCCAAGAAGACGCAAGGCTGTAATCGCTGCCAAAGGTGCTTCAACAAAGTATTGAATAAAGGGTCTTAATACTTATGTAAATGTTATGTTTCCATTTTATTCTATTTTTTTATTATCAAAAATGTATAAAAACCTGTCTTTGCTTTGTTGTTATGGGGTATTGTGTGTAGATCGATGAGGGAAAAAAACAATTAAATACATTTTAGAATGAGTCTGTAACCTGACAAAATGTGGAAAAAGTCAAGGGGTCTGAATACTTTCCGAAGGCATTGTATATGACATAAATTAAAAAGCAATTATAAAAAATGCTTAGTGAATATTTACCTGCATGGTGAAATTGGTCACAAAGTCTTTTTAAAGTTTGCTGGATATATTTGTATAATCAGACACAAACTCTCTGCCTGGAATTCGAGTGAAAGCTTCAAAGACCTTTCCAGCTTAAGGAGAAAAAGGATAAAGGAACATTTAGCTAAACAAATGTGATGTTTGCACAAAACGTCCCATTGTACTCATTTGATCTATATATTTTGTGACAAAAGTAGGTTCTTAGTAAATTCAAGCAGATTACTTGAAAACATTTTGACATACCAGTGATTATGTCTGTTGAAAAGTTTTTCTTAATGCTGCAGGATAAGTACTCAATAATCAGAGTGTATATGGTTCCAGGAGTAAGGTCTGAGAAAACAGCTTTGGTGGCTGAGGTCTCACTATGGGTTGAGTTGGAACCAGACGCCAGCTTCACCTTGTACTGTATCTGCTGGTCCAGGTTAATACCCATCCAACTCACACTGATTAACTTACTGGTGACATTCTCCAGCCTGATGACATTCACCAGAGCTTCTGACACAGAAAACAAATAAAGATCAAATAATGCAGTATATGTACAGCAATATTTTTATACATTTCAATATGTTAGTTACATTGTTTTTGTTACTTTGACACCTTTTTCAGGATATCCAATTGGTAGTTACAGTCTTGTCCCATTGCTGCAACTCCCCTATGGACTTGGGAGAGGCGAAGGTCGAGAGCCATGCGTCCTCCGAAAAACAACCCTGCCAAGCTGCACTGCTTCTTGACACACTGTTTCGCGTAACCCGGAAGCCAGCCGCCCCAATGTGTCAGACGAAACACTGTCCAGCTGGCAACCAAAGTCAGCTTGAAGTCACCCGGCCCGCCACAGAGAGTCGCCAGAGCGCGATGGGACAAGGAAATCCCAGCTGGCCAAACCCTCCCCTAACCCGGACGACGCTGGGCCAATTGTGCGCCACCACATGGGTCTCCTGGTCACGGCCGGCTGTGACACAGCCTGGGTTCGCACCCGGGTCTGTAGTGACTCCTCAAGCACTGCGATGCAGTGCCTTAGACAGCTGCGCCTCTCGGGAGGTCTCAATTTGTATGTTAAAAAAATTATAATTCTATACTAAGTCTGCTAAATTGAAAAATTCTAAGTTTTGAATCTGGCGTCGTTTTGCGTATCAGTTCATAAACACTATGCCATGGAATTGGTACGTCAAAAATCTATTCCCAACTATTTTGCAATCTATATGGGACGGCTGTGTCACGCCCTGGCTCTGGGACTCTGTTATGTTGAGCCAGGGTGTGTTGTTTCTATGTGTTTGGTGTGCTAGGGTTATTATCTAGTTCATTTGTTTCTATGTTGGCCGGTGTGGTTCTCAATCAGAGGCAACGTGAATCAGCTGTTGCTTGTTGTCTCCGATTGGGAACCATACTTAGGCAGCCTGTTTTCCACAGTGTGTTGTGGGATCTTGTTCCGTGTATGGTTAGTGTTTGTAACCAAGGATGTCACGTTATCGTTTTGTTCGTGTTGGTAATTAAAATAAAAGTATGTTCTCATTCCACGCTGCGCATTGGTCCACTTTCTCCAACGGTCGTGACAGAAGATCCCACCTTAACTGGACCAAGCAGCGTGTCCAGGAGCCAACGCCAGAGAGGGCTCTAAAGGATATCAACCTCGACTGGGTCAAGCCGCGGGAGGAGGAGAGAGGCTGGACTTGGGAGCAGAGGAGCGAGAGTCTGGCGAGAGCCATGGAGGCCTGGCCCACGGGGAGGAGAGATGCCCAGAACATTTTTAGGGGGGGGCTCACGCCGTGGACGACGGGGCAGCAGGAGGCCGGGATAGAGTGGTTCAGCGGGTTGGCAAAGGAGGCCGCCAGGTTACGGGAGTCACTGGTCACCAGGGGGAAGGAGAATGTAGAGGCACGGCGAGAGGTACTGGGGTGTGTTGCCAGTCCGGTCCGGCCCGTTCCTGATCCCCACGTAGGGCCAGTGGTGTGTGTCCCCAGTACGGTCCGGCTTGTTCCTGTCCCTCGCACCGAGCCTGTGGTGTGCGTCGCCAGCCCGGTCCGGCATGTTCCTGCCTCTCGCACCAAGCCTGTGGTGCGCGTCGCCAGCCCGGTCCGGCCTGTTCCTGCCCCTCGCACCAAGCCAGTGGTGCGCGTCGCCAGCCCGGTCCGGCCCGTTCCTGCTTCCCGCACCAAGCCAGTGGTGCGCGTCGTCAGCCCGTTTTGGTCCGTTCCTGCTCCCCACACCAAGCCAGTGGTGCGCTTCGTCAGCCCGGTTCGGCCCGTCCCTGCTCCCCGCACCAAGCCTGTGGTGTGCGTCGTCAGCCCGGTCCGGCCTGTTCCTGCTCCCCGCACCAAGCCAGTGGTGCGCTTCGTCAGCCCGGTTCGGCCCGTCCCTGCTCCCCGCACCAAGCCAATGGTGCGCGTCGTCAGCCCGGTCCGGCCCGTCCCTGCTCCCCGCACCAAGCCTGTGGTGCGCGTCGTCAGTCCGGCACAGCCCGTGCCTGTTCCACCGGTGCCTGGTCCGGCACCGGTCAGCTGCTCCACTCCGGAGCTAGAGCAATCCGCTCCACCAGTGTTCAGTCCAGCTCCGGCCAGCAGGGCCAGACTGGACCAGGGGCGCTTTGGGGGGTTTGTTGGAGGGTGGGGGTCAAGCCCGGAGCCGGAACCGCCTCCGTGGAGGAATGCCCACCCGGCCCTCCCCTGTTCGGTTTATGTTTGGCGCGGTCGCAGTCCGCGCCTTTTGGGGGGGGGGGTACTGTCACGCCCTGGCTCTGGGACTCTGTTATGTTGAGCCAGGGTGTGTTGTTTCTATGTGTTTTGTGTGCTAGGGTTATTATCTAGTTCATTTGTTTCTATGTTGGCCGGTGTGGTTCTCAATCAGAGGCAACGTGAATCAGCTGTTGCTTGTTGTCTCTGATTGGGGACCATACTTAGGCAGCCTGTTTTCCACAGTGTGTTGTGGGATCTTGTTCCGTGTATGGTTAGTGTTTGTAACCAAGGACGTCACGTTATCGTTTTGTTCGTGTTGGTAATTAAAATAAAAGTATGTTCTCATTCCACGCTGCGCATTGGTCCACTTTCTCCAACGGTCGTGACAGGCTGTCAATCCTTTGGTCCTTAAATGAAACTGGTATACTTTTTTATTTATCACAATTTTCTTTAACCAATTATGTTCTTTAATGCAGGGCCGACAGACAAGTTCCTTACTTTTTCCCCCTTCCACTTTCCTCTTCAATTTTTGTGGTGAAGCTGCAATTATTTGGTTGTAATTTTGGTTAGAGCAGACATTTCCATATGTTTTTGTTAGCTGCATTTGCGACATAACTCCACCAGTCCTACCTATGATATCATTTACGAAGATTATACCTTTTTTAAACATTTTGTCAAAAAATATTTTTTTTTATCAATTAGTATATTTGAGTTTAACCACAATATTTGTTGCATTATTTGTTCTGTC